TTGCATCAGAAAAAGCATGTAGCTGAATATCTTTAGCTGAAGAAAGTCCCACGTAGCGAGGTATCTTGAGCATTTCAATATATGGAAGTTCATTGGCGAACTTGTTCCAAACTGATATAACGCTGTCGTCTAGGGGTTCATCCCAATCGAGACCAAGTGTCCATAAGTATTGCATGAAGGATTTGGACCAGAAGGTTACAGGAGTTAACCATCCTGACGGGTCATAGATCTGTGATATCACACTTAAAACAATTCTTTTTGTAGGAGTTTCCTTAATATTTTGAGTTCCTACAGAATAAGAAAAACATCTTCATTAGGAATCCATTTAAGTCCTAAAACACTATGAACTGGTTGTTCGGGAGCTCGAAAACCAATAGGTTTTTCTTTGTGATCTTCAGGGATCGACTGTAAGAGTAATGGATTATTCGAAGACCATTTTCTTAACTCGAAACCTCCTTTTTTGAGTAACTGAACCACATCATTTTTCAACAAAAGAGCGTTTTCTACGCAATTACTACCCAATAGGGCGTCATCGACATAAATCTGATCCTTTAGAGCAGTTGCGGCTAGAGGATGATTTTTTCCTTCATCAATAATGAGTTGTTGAATGACACGATTTGCCAAGTAGGGCGATGATGTGAGCCCATAAGTGACAGTCGCTAGCTGATAGATTTGAAGAGGCATTTTATCATTCTCTCTCCAGAAAATAAGTTGAAATATCTGATCAGATTCCTTTACAAGGACTTGTCGAAACATCTGCTTGATGTCGCATGAAAAAACAACCGCATGTCGGCGAAAGTTGAGAATGATGTCACATATGTTGTTGTGGAGTTTTGGTCCTTGATGAAGAATACTGTTGAGAGACAGAGATGTTGATGTAGGTGCTGATGCGTTGAATACTACCCTTAATTTTCCATCTTTAAAAATTCCATGATGTGGAAGGTAGTAATGAGGATTATTTTTAAGACGTGGTGACTGACAGAGTGTCATATGTCCCGAAGACAAGTAATCTCTCATAAAATCAACATAGGTTTCCTTGAAATCAGGATTAGAACGAAATTTATTCTCCAGAGACCAGAATAGGGATTTTGCCATTTTGCTCGAGTTGCCTAATGTTGACGGATCGTCTGAGAAAGGCAAAGAGACAATATATCTTCCTTCAGGAGTGCGTAGATACAAAATGTTTTTCACATTTTTCTTCGGCTAAGGATTGCTTGCTTGTAAGAGGGGGTTCCTCTACAGCCCAAAACTGTTGGATAGAGGTGTGAAGATCCAAACTATTGGTGGTTAAGAGTGTGACTAATCCATGAAATGAATTTTTACAAGTTGAGGCGACAGGGGTCGATCCTAAGAGCGCATATCCAAAAATGGTGTCAATTGCTACAGGCATATTCTCACCAAGTGACAAAAACTGGCCTTTCACAGAGGAGGCAAAAAGGTCAGCTCCAATTAGAACATCAATAGGAGCGGGTTTATCAAAAGTAGGATCGGCTAACATTAAATGTTGCATCTGTGAGCGAACTTCAGGAGTGATCTTAGCTCGAGGTAAATCTGGAGTGATATTATCCAAAATGAAGACAGGGTGAGAGCTTGCCAATACATATCCACTAAGGGACTGGAGAGTGACATGAGTTAACCCTTTTGTTTTCACCTGAGCAGACGAGATGCCATTAATAAGCGTTTTATTAGCATGAGAGCGCTTAATCCCTAAAGACTGAGCACATCTTTGAGTAATGAAGGTAGACTGAGCAGCAGAATCTAAAACTCCCCTACAAACTAGGGTCTTACCTTCGCTTGATTTTACCACAATTAAAGCAGTGGCAAGAAGAACTGTGTTCTCTGTATTTGTCAAACCAACAAAACCAGATTCATTTTTATTTGAGTCAGAACTTGGAGCTCGTTTGTCTGTGTTACCTTTAGACACATTAGGAGAGGGATTATTTTCAGAATCCATAAAATGCAAAAGAGAGTGATGTTTTCTTTTACACGTAGAACATGTACGCCATGAATTGCATTCCTTTACCTTATGCTTATCGCCAAGACAGTTGGTGCACAAATTTTTGCCTTTAACAAAATTATACATTTCTTGTGAAGTCAATTTAAGAAAACCTTTGCATTGATAGATTTTGTGATCTGCACCTGCGCAAAATGTACAAACAGTGCGAGGAGTTGCAATAAGCGCCGATTTATTTGAGCGCTGAGGGGGTTTTACTTGAGTGTGGTGGCCTAAGGTACCCTTAAGAGATGATCCCACATTAGTAAGATTAGCTGCTTCAAGATTTACACAGTGAGACTCAATGTACTTGGTTAACTCATCTAACTTAGGAGTTACAGAGTTATCACTTCGACTCTGTTCAAAATGATGGCGAAAATCAGAATCAAATTTTCTTAACAAGTGAGAGGTCAAAATTAAATTTTCCTGAGAAATTTCTTCATCTAGAGCTTTAAGTGCTTCAATGTTTTCATTTAAAACAGACAAAAACCTTCTAAGTTGCTTCACTGAGGGATTGTGAAGAACTGGTAAGTCTAACACATTGTTGACATGAAGAGAGATTAGTAATCTTGTATTCTGATACCTTTTAAGTAGAGATTCCCATGCAATAAAATAATTAGCATTAGTCATAGGGATGTTTTTAACAACTGAAAGTGCCTCTCCCTCAAGACAGCTTAACAAATAACTCATTTTTTCAACACCAGAAATACTATCATTTTTATGAATAGTATTTTCAAACAAATTTTTGAACGCCATCCACTTTTCATGTTGACCTGAGAAGGTACCAAGTTGAAGTTTAGGAAGCTGTACACTAACCTTAGTTGTAGCTACTTGGCTGATAGCTGCATTGGAATCATCCAGGTTTGGCTGGCTCGACTGGTTAGAGCTTGGGGAAGGTATCAAGTTCACACACAAAGAGTGAATAGACACATAGAGATCACTTATTTCATCTTGTAATGTTGAAATTGTAGTGATATTTTCACTTTCATCTAATTCCTCAGGTAAAGGCACAGTGCCGAACAACTTATTCACTAATTTGTCAAAATCATTATTTTTGGCTGTAGCGGTGGAATCCAAAAGAGTGAGCTTTGTTATAAGTTGAGGAGTGATAGGTTCCTTTTCGATAGCAAGCACTTTTGCTTCAATTGACTTAAGCCTGGCTAGCACAAGCTCAGATTGCTTCACAAAAGTTGAGAACCTCATTTTGAATAAGTCTTAAATTCAATAAAATTCCAAAATAAAAATAAATGCAGATTAAAATAAGTTTATAATGAGCAAAACTTATTTAAAGACAGCCAGGATTCATTGTATTAAATATTAATATTAGTCAACTTGAAATCAGAGAGAAATATTCAGCCATAGTATAGGCCTATAAAAAGTTTAAGTCCCAGAAAATATCTACCTGCAATTATTTCCAGATAATAAATTTGAAATTCAATAAAACATGTTATTTCAAACACAAACTGTAATTAAATGTTCAATCCGTATTAATAAACATTCTTCTGTCACTTTAATTTAAAAGTGTAAGCAAACAATTGAGGTTATGAAAACATAAACAAAGTCTTGCATAATGACATTTAAGTTTTCATTTCTATCCATCAGCAGCGCTAGTGTTGATCAGCTGTGAAGTTGGTATGACTTCCATGATTTTCTGAATATTCAGCAACAAGAGAGAAACTTGTTTCACATTACAGGGGGGAGAGAGGGGGGCAGACAGGATGCAGCCCGATAATGCACAATAGAGAATAGACAAACTATGCATGAAAATACAGGAGTTGTAGACAGTACAGTCTGAGAACAAAATTTTCTGTCTGGGACAACAAAACTTTATGTGTTATTTCACAAATTACTGCAACAATTTAATAAATTGATAATAATGTGATCAAAAATATTTAATCCTCTTGTTAATGATACTTAATGTTGATGACAGATTTATTCAATTAATTTATTCAGTTCAAATAAATACAAAACTTAATAACTTAATAGTCACAGTAGATTATTTTCCATAGGCTGGGAAACTTCCGGCTCGTGAGGACCATGTTAAATATGGTATTAAGAGGTAAAATTGTGAGAAATACCTTTAGATCCTAAAACTGAAGATCCATTAGGGTTTTGGTAGAACAGGAACAAGATGAGCAGAGAAGCGATGGCTCTGGCCAGAGTGACGAGAATCGAAGGACCACAGATGAAAGATGATGTTGAGAAATGACTATTGTTGTGTAGTATGTAATTCTTCACTGATTTAAATTAAAACTCTTCTTCATTAATAAAAAGAAAGCAATTCACTACTCATGAATATTCTGGACTGTACACGAAAATTTACAACACATTTACTTTAAATAAAAATATCTTCTTGGATCCTAGCTTGACACTTGGTACTATAAATTTGGAATCCATATTTAAATGAGAAATGATGAAATAATGCACTTGGAGCGGTAAGAGAGAAAGAGAGATTAAAATATTTAATATGAACTAAACCAAAAGGTAACTGTGTACTGTGAGAGAGGTGAGTCTAAACTGAACTGACTAGTACGAAGTGCTGTAGTGAACTTTGGACAGTGATGTCATCATATCAGCTGTTGTATCCTTTCAATAACTGAACTAAAAACTTGACTTGAATGTTAATACTACTTGATTAATTGTTTATATTTGACTGTATATAGTTCATATGTTATTAAATAAATATTTTATTAAATGTCCTTAGTTGAATTACTAAATATTTAACAATGAGAAATAAAAAAATCTCGTCTCGTCTCGTCTCGAACTAAAAATCCAATCTCGTCCATCCCTAGTCATTATTGTTGTTGATTATTGTTGTTGTTTGCATGCATCTATAGGCCTACTCAAGGTTTCCCTGTTGCATAAAAAGGAACAATCCAGTCCTGAACCAAAAGTACAATCTTGTCCATCCCTGATTTTTGATAATCCAACACATTCCTTGCATAAGGAGCGACGTTAAGTCTGCCACAAGCGTCTGCCTGTGTTTTGTTATCAATGGTCCACTTACCGACTCCTATTTCAGCGCAGACCTCCCTGTATCTTTCAGTAGCTTTGTGTACTTTCCAGCTGTTCACCACCCCCACCACCTCATTACAGCCCAGTAGTAGAGAGACAGGGTCCTGAGGAGACAACATGGCTCCCTCCCATGTCTGTAGGCTCAGCCGCGGCTCTTGACCTTCGAAACTGTAGCACAAAGAGGGAGTTTTGACAATTTTGAAAGTTTTTTAAAATTGTCTATATCAGTGGCATTGTTATGAAAGAGACTCAAACACTAAACGCCTTTGTTTATGGATATGTTTTCAGGCTTTGATTTAATTATTACTAAACCTCACGCATTAGTGGTTTATAGAGCTTATAGATGAGGTTTTGACCTGAGCTAATGGAATTACTCAGTCTTAACATTTTAGTAATTCATCAATCCATAAAAAAACTAAAACATTTTCTTTCGTATTTAGTTTTTTATAAAACAAGCTTGTAACAGTGTAGTGTTTGATGTCAGGGGTATACAAATAAAACCTTACATACATCAACCTTATATTTAGGATTTCAGTGACTAACCCCCATGATAGAGCTATAATCACATTTTACTACCTGTAGTAGCGTTTAGCAGCTTCCTCAGCCAGCCAGGCGATGGTTTGAACTTCCTGGGTGTTTTCTTGGGTTGGCAGAGGTATCAGTAGTAATTTGCCTTCCACCCGCACTTTTATGGATGGCAGCCCCATCTGCTAAGGGAGAATTCATATAAAAACAATGCATATTTGTATTTCAGAAAAGTTTCAGCTGTTTAGTACACATTATAAATATTTTTTGTCATACTGCAAAAAAAAAAACCGCTGTTTTCAATACTGTGTTTGGGTCCATAGTAACCCTTCCCAAAAGGGGGGGGGGATAAACGGTTAAGGTGCGTCGACGGGATCCATGCTGCATGCTGCTGCGGCGTAGCCGGACGACGGGATGAAAGGCAAAACACATGCAGTTAAATGAGAGCAGCCACACCATCCCGTTGTACCGCGCGTTTATCCCTACTGTTGTCGCTATCATTAGTGCTCAGCATGTGATACTCGCGCACATCACTCGAAGTATGTTGTGGTAGAACAGGAAGGTGTGACAGGGTAATGTAAATGCGGTAAAAACACAATTTGCTAAACAGGATAGTGTGGCGCCGGCCTTATCAAGCCAATCCGTGGCCGGTTTAGAATATTCAAGACTCTCTTTTGTATTACTTTGTACTTTCACACACTATCCAAACAAAATTCCTAGAAGGCAACTAAAATAGACAATCTTCAATTTTCTTCCTAATAAATACATACCTGAGTATTCTGTGTGCATTGAGTAGGTTGCTGAGTCGGGGGCTGGAAGTTCATTGGCATTGCTGCTGGAAGTTCCGTTGGAGGAGGCATTGACTGCCTAACAACGCCAAAGCCTGTCAGAGGAACTTGTGTGGCTAAGGAGACTGGCCTCACATTACTGGAACATTTCATTAGATTCATGTTTAATATTGAGAGTGTTATGCTTCACAGGGATTCTCAGATTTTTAGCTTTCAAGACCACAAAGCGAAATTTCCGTTTACTACAAGGCAGAATGCTGTGCTGGAGGTGACTTGTGTTCGGTTGGAGCGTGATTGGAAGTGTTTTTCCTATTTCTCCATACAGTCTGTTCAATAAACTGCTTTAGACCAGTGGTGTGGATTGTACAGTAAGTGACAAAACAATTTATTAAAAAGATTGCAACATATTTAAATCAGAAATAGTCAAAATATTGGAATTATTACTAAGTTATTTTAGGATGATAAGGTGAAAGATGTGGAAGCAAGAGGAGTGCAGTGGCGGTAAGTGAAGGAAGAGGAATTGTGGAGGGACAAAAGAAGAAGGAGAGACCTAGTGGACACCCAGATCCAGGGATAACCGGAACAGGACAGGATATATGCATGTATATATGATCAAGGGTACAACTTGCAAAGAGTCCACCCTGTCAAGTCACCTTAGTGGTCTACCCTTAGTTTCAGGTGGGTACACCCTACCAAGCTATGGAGAGCAAGCTGGTCTAGAGGTAGAGCGTGGGACTTGGTCCCCGAACTCCTGGGTAGAAATTCCGCCAATCACCAATGAATTTTATCAAATTTATAATGCGATGATCCCCTCTAAGCCTAGCCTAAAGTGATGTGAAACACAATTCCGAGCTAGAATCTAGAAAAAAATCTACCAGACTCTGCCACAAACAGGCAAACTCATGAGTTTCATATCGGATCTGATTGAGAAGAGATTCCATCCCTATTTCTACAGTTGCTATATATTGGTAGGGGGGACATAATTGATCTAACTGTCCAACACACCATAGCAGTAGACAGAATAACATGGACCAAGTGGCTGAGTCTGTATGCTAACTATTGTTCACACGTTTAGGGACTGTTTTCTTCACATTAAAATGTACAAGGGAACCTAATAGCAAACAGTAATTTTCTCTAATACTACAGGGAAAAAAATAAAACTAGTCAATATTGTGGTTTTTCTAAAGATTTCTGTCAACTTGGTCTAATTGTTGATTTCACACAAAGCATTCATCATATTTTTGTCCATAAAAATGAAGTTTATTTTTTTTATTATTTTTAAAATTAGAGAAATAATAATTACCTTTGAGGTTGTTGGGGAGTAAGAATTTCCTGTACAATGTCAGGTTCATCACTTATAGTCACAGATTCTCTTTGCTGCACATCTTCTTCCACCTGAAAAGATAAAGTTAAAATTAATATTGTATAAATTACTCTTAATGAATTTAATTATTAGTTGATTCTTAAAGATTATTTATGTTGCTAACACAGCAGCAAAGTTCTTTTTATCACCATGAACTTGTATAAAGCAGACTAGTAAAACTTAAAAAAATAAATTTAATATGAGCTAACATACAGTAGGCAAAAAAGTTTATTTTTACTGTAAATCCACCGATATAAAAAAAATTTAGTTAAATAGAGTTTAACCCTATGGTTTAGGCACAGAACTAAAATTTCAAAATGATTCTATCAAAGAAAGACTCTTATCCTTAAGCTCAATCAACCCATTCATATTTGTTTGCGCAAATGTGTGCTCACACCTGATGTGTGCCAATGAATGTATGAAATTCACTTACAAAAAAATTAACAATAGTGTACTGCGTGACTCAACTCTACTTGCTGTTCAAATAGCCGCATAATCAACTCGACAGAAAGATCTATTACTTGTTCACCCCACTATATTTATAATTAGCTACTCCACGTGAGGAGAGCTCGTTGGAGAACTGTAGAAGACAATACTACTTTTAATATACTGACTAAAATTTGTTTTCCATATTGCACCCACACACCTGACGTTCCCCTGAGTTGCTGGAGTCAGTGAAAAGATCCACAGGGCTGATAGGTCTGTACACACGTCGGGGCGCCGGGGGAGGGCTGTCCGGGAGGCGGTTGGGCCGGCGCTGGGGCTCTCCCTCAAAGTGGTGTGAGCGGCGCCGCTTGATGCCCCTGTGACCTGATGGTGCTAGGTCATCTACCAACCAGTCTTCAACTACTTCATCTTCTGCCACTAGGGCACTGTGCTCAACTCTTGGTGGACTCTGAACAAATATGGGATGACCCTTACTACTTATGGGTAACTCTTTTTACTTAGTTTGTAAAATGTGTAAAATATTAACCTTAACTATTTTTTAAATTTAAAGTACATTTATGTCTGTTTTAGAGTGCGAATCAACAGGCTTACCTGTTATTAAGTTATCATACCTGTGGTGAAGGAAATGTTGTGTGTTTCCGCCGCAGACTTTTCATTGCTTCTTCGTACTCTCTTGTAGCTGTTGTACTTTTCTTTGATGGTACTTCAAGTTCTTCTCCACTTCTTCGCAAGGAGGAACTAGATGACCTTGATCTATCTTTATCAGAAAATCTATGTTTGGATGATTGAACATCCTCCTCAAAACTCCTCCTTTTGTTGGATGGCACTAACAAAATAAAAACTTAGGTAGATTGAAATGAATAAAAAAAAAAATAATTAATTATTACGAATGATTACTTAAATTGCAAAGGGCTTAAATTAATTTGAAGGTAAGTAGAAATAACTTTTCAGAGTAACATTCAGTCACCCTACACTCCTTTGTCCACTCGCTATCCAAAACTGGTCTTCACTCCACTGTTCATTTTTGGGGTAGACTTCCGTATCTGTTGGCACAAACAACCGAATGAAAATATCTATCGATATATTGATTATTTTATATATCGTTTGGCTAGTTAGATAAGGAAAACTTAACCTAACTAACCAAACGAATCGAATGACACAATCGAATAATAAATATTTTAATTCGGTTGTTTGTGCCAACAGATACGGAAGTCTACCCCATTGTTGTCCATGATGTAAATGTTTACTATCATTACATTGTTACATTGTAAAATAGATGCGATTCTGTATATTTTAATTGTATTGATTGTGGGAGATGAATTAGGGAAGAATGGAGTGAAGAGTGAACTGACTTGTGAAGATTTTTTACTGCCAAAGACCAGCTTATATCTAAGCCAGTACTATTCAAAATATCTAGGTCTTCTGGTTCCCCTCCAAATTATATAAACTACTGACTTTTTTAGCATGTTTCTACTGATTACTAGATCAGTACTACATACTCAAATATCCAATTATGATTTTGATCTCTACAATACCATCAGCTCGAATTGTAAGCTTAACCACCACTTCTGTCACAATATCCTCCTGTAATTATTAGCCTATTTCTTTAACTTAATACCAAAATTTTAAGGGTTGCAGTTGACTCTGATTCAATAAGACTAATGTGATAGAAGTCACACTCCCAATCATGTAATGTTTAGATTTTTGGAAGCAAGCCAACAATAATCAATTCTGCCTAGGATCACATACAGGTTTTGGTTAAGGTTTTAGCCTTAGACTTAAAAGAGAGCTCAAAAAACTGCCTGTTGCCTATTGGAGATCAGAGACATACCTTCCACCTTGTGAGACAAATGTCATGTTAACTTGGACTTTATTATTAAATTATCACAACTTTATTTTCATTTTGTAAAATCTTTGATCCTGAGCTAGGGTCTGGACAAAAAAAAACTTAAATAACCGATGAGTCTAGAGCAATATGTACTGGGGTAGAAATACCTTGTCTTTGTGAAGGATAATCCCTGGTGTTTTCCAAATGCCCTCTTGACGTTGATGGCTGACTTGTGAAAGAAGAGGTAACAGGTGAAGGGGATCTCCTTTCAGATTCTGGATTGTGTCCAGCTGGAAAAGGGGGAAATGTTATCACAAAGCTAAACATATCGTTATTCAAATGTGCTAGATTTACTAGCTAACTGAAAACAAGACAATTTTTGAATTTTCTGACATTTGACATCAGCATTTCTAACCTAAGAAGAAAAGTAGTGAGCCCAGGAAACCACTACTTCCAAGTAGTCCAGGTCAAATGAAACAGACTAAATATGAAGAAAGAAAGTGGTGTTCTAAGTCCCCATTTGGGTACCCCTATTACCTTGTACAGAAAAGGTAACAATGTCAATAGTGTATTATATTCTGAATTATCAAACCAGTAAACTACTGAAGCACTCAAAACTGAAACTAAGTACAATGTTACATGTGTGTTTTACTATACATATAGTATGTGTACACAATTTTTCGGAACACACCTAACATTTTTACAACATGTTGTCAAATTATTATCCTTTAGAATTAATTAATTAAGAAAGATAGTTAAAGAAATTTAAGATTAAATTATTAACTCTTTGCCCTCGAATGGTTGCTGGCCACAGCTGTTTTTGGGTCAGCTCGTAATTGTTCATGCAGCGCTGTGCCTCTCGGGTTGTATGGCCAGCCATTGTGGTTTCTCTGTTAGGTTGGCCACCATTCTGCCAACCTTTTTACATCAGCTTGTATCAAGTATTTTAGTTTTTCTAAATATTATAGTTAAGGCTAATGTTTTACACATTAAAACCAAAAAAATAAATTCAAATAAGTCCAATTATATTTTATTAAAAGCTAATGAAATAAGAAACCTTACAAACTAACATTTTAATATTTTGTGAGTCAGGGTACTATCTCTGTTTAGTGCTACAACCTACAGAAGAATTACTAAACAATGTTAACAAGTGTAGGATGGCCACCTATGCTGGCTGAACGAGCTGGCAGGGAAATCAGTAGAGGCCAATAGCGCTGGCCATACGACCTGAGAGGAACTTCCTCTAAAATGGCTTTGAGACCGCAAAGGGTTTTAAGGGAATCTGCATTCATGAGGTCCGGTTTGATTTAAATAACATATATTTTCATACTATAAATATGAAAAAGAATACAGCTTGCTTTTTAGACACAATTTTCACTTCAATTCAAAGTACATAATAATTTGTCTTTTCACTCTTTTCGTTTCTTTCAGCAACACAAACGAGGTTTTTAATCCTCTAACCTGATGAGGAGGGAAGGATGAGTATAGAATGCCTTGCGTAATTCTTTACTGACTCTGAACAGATCCTTCTTTAGCAAAAATCATACTATGGTGTGGTGAAAGAATTATATAGTTTGCTTAGTTACCTTTTTGGTTCTTTTCTGTTAATTCACTGCCACTACTTTTTTTAATTGCAATTCCGATATTTTTAACAGTTAGCCTATGAATATATCAATTATAAAATTACTATTCCAAACTAACCTAACCAACCAAACTTGCGGATTATGAAAAAAATTTGGGTAGTGAATAAATGGAATTGCAATTAAAGAAATAACAAGCTGTTGGCCCGTCCTACGTACGGGAATCGAGTAGTCAATTAAAACTGAATATGATTCAGAACAGCTAGTTTACAACTTGGTGGCCGATTCACACACACTGGCTTTGAGTACAGTAGCTTTATACCACCTTCCATAGGCATAGGCCTACTATCACTTACCGTACCTTATTTTACCACCTTGGCCACTGAAACCTCTAAAATGATCCTGGCCTCCCGTTCTCTTCTATCCCCTGCCATTTCTAAGGAAGATACCAGTCTGAAGATGTCTTTCATTACTTGGTCTTCTTCCAAGTGGTCGTCTACCTTGTAGTACTCCTTGGAATACACTTTTAAAAGTTGAAGTATCTTCTCTCCGCCATGCAAAGCCTGCCCAGCCCATCCGAGATCTGAGCCTTTTGGAATGTACCCCTTTATCAAGTTTCTGAATCATACAGTACTACTGGGATAGTTATGATATGGTATGAATCGATTTTGGTTTCTACTGACACCCTGCAGCTTATTGGTCAGTTTTCTGGAGACCTACTACACCGGTTGACATTTTCATTACGAATAAAATGTGTACTGTATGCAGTCATACTTATATTCAAACATCTAGAAAAAGATGTATCAACACGTAAACCACTTGCATTTTAAAGGATTAAGCACTTATACTTAGACGAATTACATTTATAACAAAACTTGATTATACGTTTAAAATGTTGAGTTCAAAATTACACTTAATCTCCTGATAACATAGATCTTTTACGGTAGAAAATAAACTGCATTTTAAAATATTGTGTAGGCAAACTCTGACGATCAATAATTTTGTATACAAAATACTTGTAACAGAAACATTTTAATGACAGTTAGAAACAAGCTGTTAGTTAAACCACCACTAAAACTACTTTAACTCGTCCGTCGGCTGCTAGACTTTTTGAAAATTAAAACTTAATTTCTAAAAAACTGAAACCCTAAACTAAAATTATGGCTTCGACATTCCCTAGTTCTCAAAATTATCTTTCTTTCAACACAAAAATCATAAAAATCCGTCAAGGGGTTGATTCAGAATCGTGAAATAAAAAAACCCTGTTTCGTTTTAATATATAGGATGGTAATGAATCAACGGAAAATGATCTTTTTAGGAATGCATACAAAATATCTACATTCCAGAGATGTATTACGATTATTGATCAACATAAGCTTTACCAGACGCCACAGCTTACATGTAAGATATAACTACAGATTTGTTACCTTTTTTCAAAGCAACCCTGAGTGTTTTGACAACATCATCATACTGGGCAAGAGTTTCAGGGTCCAAGTCTGATTTTGTTTCCTTTTTGCTTCTTCTTCGCCAAGCCATCAGGCAATCCAGAACAGTTTCTCCCTGTGAGGAAAACAACTTATACATTGCAGTAGGCACCACAGACTTAAATCAAACTACTGACATTGTGATTACTATTTACATAACCATTATTCCATACATACTGTATTTGATTGTATTTGATAGAAAATTTAGAGGGAAAGTCAAACAAAACGGACTACTAAAGTACCAGCCATGGTTGGCTTGGTTCCTAGTGATAAAAAGTGATGAATGATTGAGATGGACTGGAAGTGAAAAGGACGTGGGAAGATATGATAAAACCTGTGTTAAAGTTTTACCCACTTTCAAAACAAAAATGAACATAGCTAAATTATTGAACCTCCATGATGTGCTTATATCAAGTGCTGATTTCTGTTAAATACACCAACTTTATGAGCAAGCCAAATTGAAAGGATAACTGATGGTACCGTAGTTTTGAGAAAGACAACCATAGTATATTTTATGTAACATAAACTATTATGTAATGAAAAAAATAGATAAAAATAACTATGGGAAAAACTTAATTTTTAACTGTAACTTTCTCTGTGAGTGGCTTATTAAATTATTTCTTTTTAATTGAAAACATGGCTACAGCTGGTCATTAGGTGAAATATCTACTTTAGTTAGGGATAGACAGGATTGAATTTTGAGTTTGGGACGGGACCGGATTTTTATTTACTTCCCAATTTTTGGGAAGGGATGGGATGGATTTTTTTCCAAGTGCAAAAAAATGGTAAAAAAAAATCATTTACAAGAACCATCAATGGGTAAAAATACTAAAACTACTCAGATATTGCAAAACTTTTGACTAACAAATTTCAGATTTGGTGAATTTAATGGTAGAAACACACATACAGCAATTCAGAGCGGAGCGATCCAGAGCGAGCTTTAGCAGTGCGACTGAGAGCGACTGACGTCGCACACATGCGGCGACTAGTGAGAGCGACACGAACGGGAGCTTGATCATTTCCAGGATATCACACAGTAAGTAAGCACGCAATTTGCAGCACAGCGAAAACACGTGGCTAAAAACATTCATTTTGCGTTCTTCTAACCGACCGGAATGGTTGCATGAAGTGAATGGAGGAAGGGAGGTACATGGTAAATATCACCATTTGTTTCCAGTTCTTAAGAAGCATTAATCACGATTCATGCAATACATGTCTACCTCAATCTTTGAATACATTCTTTCATAAATAGAAGGTTCGAAAGGTTCCAAATTGCTCCGCTTGTGACGCATAGCGACACGCTATATTTTACATAGTGTGTGCCGTTCGCGAAGCCGGGCTGCATGACTATCTCGTTGCCTGCCGCGACTGCATAAACGCGCTATCCCCACTGTTGTAACTCTTTATAACATAATAAAAGATAAATCAGATAAAAAAGTGTATTATATAGAATAGAAACTAAACATAAACAATAGTAATCAATAAGAATAAAGATCATATGATCAGCTGGTAATTCAAATGCAGTCTATTAGAAATTATAACAATCTTCCCCACATAAGTTTTGAGCTCACACATAAGCCTCAAGGTAACTTGGCGGTTGTCGAACACGTGTTGACCTACGTAACTGAGGTGACTCAACTTCATCGGGAATCTGGATGTCACATTCAGGATGCTGAGCCTCCACTACCGGTATTTGGCCAGTCGAGGAACGTCGAGGTGATTGATCTTGAATTCTGACTTCATCAGGAAAATGGATGCCACATTCAGGATGTTGAGCCTCCACTACTGGTATTTGACCAGTCGTGGAACGCCGTTGTAGCGTACGACCGACAATGGTTGAACCACTGTTTGTAGAGCGTTGTAATGTTGGTATCCCTGGAATATTGAACCTAACAGTACGTCTTTGGATATCTTCTGACTGTTGGTTAGTGGAGCGTCTTTGATTATCTTCTTCCCGTTGATTTGTCGTTTTAGGCGGTACTCTTGTTCTTATGAGTTGATTGATGTGCCTTTTGATTAAGCGTCCAGAGTCAAGCTTTACCATGTAATGTCGATAGCCCAGTTTGGATTGGATGGTTCCAAATTCCCAGATTTCGGCATTTCCAGAGTAAAGGCGAACTTGGGCTCTATCTCCTACTCTCATCGATCTTACATGTTTTGTCTGCCTAACTTCTTTTTCTTTATTTATCTTCTTTGGAATAGGAAATATGGCATCCAGCTCTATTCTTAATCTTCTGTGCAAATAAAGTTCTGCTGGGCTTTTCCCACATGCAAGTGGTGTGGCTCTGTAGCGTAAAAGCATTTTCCTGACCTTTTCTGGCATGGTGCCCTTTTCATTTGCCATTGATTTTAAACGTTTCTTCACAGTTTGAACATTTCTTTCGGCTAATCCATTTGTAGCTGGATGGCCTGGGGCAATAAATTTTTGGGTAATACCATGATCAATACAGAAGGCTTTGAATACATCGCTTGTGAAAATTGATGCATTATCGGTGACCAATGAATTGGGGTAGCCATGGAATGAAAATATTTCTTGAAGTGTGTGTATTGTTGTTTCAGTTGTAGGAGAATGTCTCATGACTCGGACCTCTGCCCATTTTGACTTGGCATCAATGGCAACTAGAAAATGATGACCCTCGAAAGGACCTGCATAGTCTATATGTAGACGTTCCCAATTGGAGTGAGGCTGATCCCACGGGTGTACTATCACCTTCGGGGGGTTGTTACGGAGCTTAGCACAGATTTCACAAGATCTAACTAGGTCTTCTATGTCATGGTTCATCCCTTCCCAGTACACATACCGCCTTGCAAGTTGTTTCATTTTTGTTATACCGATATGTGTTGTGTGAAGTTCTCTCAAAATTGAATTTTTAAGGCTCTGTGGAATGACAACTCGATCTTGCCAAAAGAGAATTCCATCAAGAAGGGTGTAGGGTGTGTCTTCGTTGCTTGTTTGTAGAGTTTTCATAAGAGATTTGAGATGAGAATCGTTTAATGTTGCACTTGCAATGGTCCGATTCGTGATAGCAGTTGAAGAAATTTGGAAAAGTGACTCAGCATACAGAAGGTGAACTTCTTCATTTATCTTCATATCAGTTGATCTTGAGTCTTGAGACAAAGGTGCTCGAGATAAACAATCAGCATTTTCATTTTCATCTCCTGATTTGTTTTTCAACTTATAATTGAATCCAGATAGAAATGAAGCATATCGAAGTAATCGAGCTGTTGTCATTTTCGGCAAAGAGTGGTCATGACTAAAGATTCTGCTCAAAGGCTTATTATCTGTGACAAGAGTGAACTGGCTTCCATACAAGTAGTTATGAAACTTTCCAACAGAAAATATAATAGCAAGTGCCTCTCGATCTAGTTGATTATAATTTTGTTCTGCAGGTGTTAGTGATCTGGATGTGTAAGCGATAGGGCGTTCATGACCATTTACGATGTGGCTAAGTATTCCCGCAATGCCAACAGGGCTTGCATCGCAAGAAAGTACAACTGGCAATTTTGGATCATAAGGAATCAGGACTCTGTCACTGCAAATCTCTTGCTTGAGCTTTTGGAAGGATGATTCACATTCTGTCGTCCATTGAAAACGGTGTTTCTTCTTGAGCAACTCCCTTAAGGGGCAGGACAACGTAGATAGATTTGGAATGAAACGTGAGTAATAAGTAATCATTCCAAGAAATCTTCTGACCTCATCAGCGTCGTGCGGTCTTGACATTTCCATCACTGCCTTTATCTTCTCGGGAGATTTGCTGATTTTATTTTGCTCAATCAGGTGTCCTAAGTATTCAATCTTTGTTTAAAAAAATGTACATTTCTTTCGATTTAGATGTAAGTCGTATTCTGTTAGTCTTCTTAAACACATTCGAAGGTTGTGAGCACATTCTGCTTGGGTTGCTCCATGGACGACTATGTCATCGAAATAAGCTTCACACTTATTAAGTCCATTGAGGATTTGTGACAAAATTCTGTTGAATTCTGAGGGAGCGGTTTTTATGCCAAAACTGAGACGGTTCATGAGAAAGGTTCCCTTATGTGTTGACATAGTTTGGATTTCACTACTTTCTTTGTCTACTGCTAAATGTAAGTACGCTTTATAAAGGTCAAGTTTGCAAAAGTATTTGGAATTTCGGAGACTGTTAAGAACATCTTCAACCGTCCTTATAGGAAAATTAGCCGAGACTAACCTCTCGTTTACACCGCACTTGTAATCCACACAAAGTCTCAGTCCACCATCTGGTTTGGGAATGATGACGAGAGGTGATCCCCAGTCACTTGTCGCAATCGGAGTGATGATTCCCTCTTTTTCTAAAGATTCCAACTCCTTTTCAACACGTTCTCTAAGTGCATATGGGACATCACGTTCTTTTGTAAATACCGGTTTTGCGTTATCTCTTAAAGTTAATGAAACTTTAATGTTAGGAACACAACCAATTTTTTCCTCAAAAATTGAAGCAAACTCATTCAGAATGTTATTCATATCTTGAAAGTTCTTTCTGTCGCCATCAACCAAATGGACTTTTGGATTAGTTTTCATGTCATGATCGATTTGTTTTAGTTCAATGTCGAAAGCACGGATCAAATCTCTACCTAAAATAGGATCGTGGCCTGATGAAACTACATACACTTCTGCTTTTAAAGATCGTTCTTTATATTGCAATGTAACTTTTGCTTTTCCTTTACATGGCACAATATCATTGGAATAAGCTCGAAAATTTAGATTTGAAGGTTGAAGATCTATTCCCAAATTCAATGCTAAGAACTTATCCTCTGGTAAAATTGTGTACCGTGCACCAGAATCTACTTCCATCTTCAGTTTCTTGTGGTTTATCGCTACCTCTACTATGTACTTTCCATGTCCAGGTTCAATTTCGTAGAGGTTGATGATTTTCTGATCTTTGGATACTGAATTGATTATGTTGCATGCCCCGTAGGAACAATCAGATTGTGAGTCATTGATCATATCATTGTCAGAGAATCGGTTAACTTGTTTACTTGAAGCATATTTCTTGGTCAGGGTATTGATGCAAACTTTTTGAATGTGGCCATTCTTCTTACATGCTTCACAGAATAGTTTTTCACGCCTTATTCGACACTGGTTTGATCGGTGGTTAGATGTTCCACATCTGAAGCAAAGATTGTTGATTCCTAAGGACTCATAATCGATTCTTTGGCTTGATCGATGCTTGTATGATGGCTTTTTCCAGGGAGATGATGTTGATGATGATGATGATGATGTCCGAGTGGATGGATGATCGTGTCTAGTGGTCTTCTGAATTTTCATTATATCTGGCACTGAAGAACTAGGGATCAGAGGTTTTGAAATGTTTGAAAGTTCCTTGCACTGGATTTGGGCTGCTTCAAGAGCTATAGCTCTCCTGACTATTTCATCAAAGTTCTCTTCCTTTCCTTGTAAAAGTTGTTCTCGAATGCTATTATCACGAATGCCCCTAATGAATTGAGCCCTTAAGAAAATGTGAGCTGTTGAAATGTTTTCTCTGCATTCACATTTTATGTAAAATTCACAGTCAGCAAGTCGTTTTTGCAAACTTGCAACATAGTCAGGTATGTTTTCACTTTCTGATTGGTAAGTGGAGAAAAAGTAATGCTGCGACACTACAGTATTCTTTTTAGGCGATAGCATTTCGCCAAAGGCTTCAACTAGCTGTTCATATTCCAAGTCTTTGATTTTCTTTGTAGGTCCTTTGAATGCAACTAAGTTGTTGTAATGGATAGAACCGATTGATGCACATAGAATTTGAGCTTTTTTAGTTTTGTTTGACACATTCTTCATGCTGAGATAGTTTTCAAATCGTTCAATATAGGCTGAAAATCTTTCTTTTTCTGAGTTGTAACTTTCAAATTGAGCAGTTGGATCTGGTGTGTTATCTTTCATTTTTTGTTCTAGTTTCTCAAACAACAGAAATAGAAGATCCATTTGTTGTTTCTGGCCTTCTATGAATTTGTCAAATTGTTCTGAGTTCATTTTGTTGTTGTAACTTGAATGTTCCTAAGCCTGAGATGTAGTTATTAACATGTTATTTGAAGAAAAGGTAATTGAAAAAAAAAAATGTAACTGGTCATTAATGTATGAATAAACAAATTTATACTTTTACCTCGTCGCCAAAACTGTTGTAACTCTTTATAACATAATAAAAGATAAATCAGATAAAAAAGTGTATTATTCCATTAACATAGAATAGAAACTAAACATAAACAATAGTAATCAATAAGAATAAAGATCATATGATCAGCTGGTAATTCAAATGCAGTCTATTAGAAATTATAACACCCACCCTCCTAGACTCTTGTCCTCTCCTCCTTCTTGTTCAACCAACCGTCAGACGAAAAGGAAGCCAAAAATTCGCCGAACCGGACTCTCATGTTACGGATAAGTTTTTTACCTTAGCTTAGGACTAAAATTAATAGCAATAATGTCTGGCTAGTTCAGGAAACAAGCGGGGAGCCCTTCTGGCTCACCCGACTATTGAAATGAGGTCAATTAACTCTTAGCTGAGATGGCTGCCTTCAGCACCCATCCTTATCGAACATGAAATATTAAACCACATGTTTCCAGAATGTAACTTAGCAATTATTTCCAGTTATCCAAGTTCAGTTCTTAGTGGGAAGGATAGATTAATATGTAAATAGTTAGTTCCATAGTTCAAATCAAAGCTGGCTAGGCAGGTGTTCTGATCTGGGTAAAAGGTCTCCGTCCCTCTGGTCCCCAGCAATCTTCCTAATTTTATTGGTAGCAGATTCAGCAGGCTTAAATTAAGTTTGGTCCAGACACACCTATTCCTAACCTATTAGCCTTACCCTGTTTATTCCCTCCTGATTACCCGAATTCCCTCCTCCATACCATTAACCACCCATTACCCCATCATCTAACCCTCACCGAACGGCCCCCCAGCTACACGCTTCCGGTAGAATGGGCATACAGAGCGGACTACTGGCGAAAGGGGAACTAAAAATGTCCACTAGAAAAACAAACGAGATTGTTCCGAAGCTAACCGCTACGCTCGCAACAGCTATCTGTGTGCGCTTTACTACTTGATTGTATGGGTTTGATTTTGTCACTCTAAATCGCCCAGCTCCGCTCCGCTCCCAGTCGCTGTATGTGTGTTTCTACCCTAAGTGTGAAACATCAGTCTCAATATAAAATGCCCAAAGCTGACCAGAAACAATCCATAGGTGTTTAAACAGACAATCACTGCGTTTTTAAAAACTGTATGGTGTTTTAAGGCCCGCGTTCGTGACGCCATTGTAAACTTGTGTCGCTGTCACGGAGCCATCTTCAACATGTGCTGCATTCGTGTCATAATCGTGAACTTGTCCCGAGATTTACCTTGTTGTTTCGCATGACAGGTGACGCCCCTCTTCGCAGCAGCAGCTGTATCACAGTCAGGTTGCCGCATGTGGCTGCGTCCAGTAATGGAGTCGTTCCATCACTTTGGTCGCCTCCTCGGTCATTTATGATAGCTCCGTGGTCCAGCAACTCCTCCACAACCTCCAGGTGTCCGAGGTTGCAAGCCTCGTGGAGTGGCAACCATCCTGCATTGTCTCTCACGTTCACAGGATGACCCTGTGGGATGAAATGTCTTGAATCAACAGATAGAAATGTAAATATTTCACTTTATGTAAATATTAAAGAATTAAAAAGCAATAAAAAAATAATAATAGCAATATAAAACTCTAATAATCCTAAGTTTGTATACCGAGAGGAGAGTGAAGGACTGGTGGCCAGCTGTTGACCTTGCCTTTGCCTGCCTCTAAACGTCTTGTCACGATGCGTAAAACATGTTTATCAAAGCTACGGTAGGACCTGAACATTACAATAATGAGCTGTGCTCCCCAAAGCAGAATGGTTCCTACGTGTCAGCAACGGCCTGTGAAAACCTCAAAATGTGTCCGCAAGCGCTAAAACTAAAAAGCTAAATAATGACTTATATACCGGTATATATATATATATTCACTCTTTAGGGCTACTAGTAATATAGTTAAATAAAATAAGTAAATTTCAATAACTTGTATAGTCTACTTTTAAAACAAAAAACTAAAAAACTATTAAGGGGTAGGCATAATCAGGTTATTTAAATTTACTTTTTTTTAAATACGTATATATACACATACCTTAACAAGTGTTAACAAGGTCTTCAGAAGTAAAACTTTAAATGTACTATAGTTTCTTTATATAAACACACTAGGGATGGACGGGATTGAAATTTTAGTTCGGGACGGGACGGGACGGGATTTTTATTTCCTTCCCGATTTTCGGGACGGGATGGGACAGGATCAGGTCCAGATCATACACAATTCATAACACAAAAAATTTCTTCAGGGTTATATGTTTTGAGGCGTATGTCACTATTATGTAGCCTGGACACCCTAAAATCAATATATTTTGCCCATATACATTCCCATCTGTCTTATGGTCTGGCAATCTATGGAGGAACGTCTAAACAAAATTTAGATACAGTTCTGAAACTCCAAAAAAAAGCTATAAGAATCATGTTATACTTGAACAAACGAATAACTGTGAAGGATAAATTTTCAAAACTACATATTTTGACTGTCTATGATCAGTATATAGTAGAATGTATTATGTGTGTCAAAAATCAACTACACAATTTGGAAATTAGAAAAAATGTCCATTCATATGACACTAGAAATAAGAATGATATAAATTTATCAAAACATAACCTCAGCTTCTTTGAAAAAAAGGGAACCTTTATGGGATCAAAATTTTTAAACCATCTTCCTACAAAATTAAAAAGTAAAATAAACCAAAATAATTTCAAAAAACTAGTTAAGAATCATCTGTTGCAAACGAGTTATTATTCATTTGAAGAGTTTTTTCAATGTAAAAACGACTAAATAAATAAGGTTGAGGTGCTCTGATGGAAAAAAATAAAAAAATGAAACTGTATATGCGGTTCTTACTTTTCTGTAAATCGAAATCAAAATGCATACAAATTAGTTATAGTCTGACACTATTCATGTATGTACATACAATATGAATAAAGAATTTTTGATTTGATTTGATTTGATTTGAGGATTTTTTTCTGTGCATAAAAAAAAGTACTGTATTGCAGTTACCAAAAAAACATACGAAATCATTTGTGGCACTGATCTATAAAAACCAAAAAATGGGTAACAATTTACAGGTACCTATAGAAACTTGTGACTCGCGGGTCACGGGGTGGTCGTCTGTAGAACTCACGGTCACGGCGTGATCGTCGTCATGACTCGCGGTCACGGCGCGATCGTCGGTATGACTCCGCGGTCACGGGGTTATCGTCGGTATGACTCCACGGTCACGGTGCGATCGTCGTCATGACTCGCGGTCACGGCGCGATCGTCGGTATGACTCGCGGTCACGGCTCGATCGTCAGCATGACTCCGCCATCACGGCATGATCGTCAGTATGACTCCGCGGTCACGGCGCGATCGTCGGTAGGACTCTGCGGTCACGGCGTGATCGTCGGTAGGACTCTGCGGTCACGGCGCGATCATCGGTAGGACTCCGCGGTCACGGGGTTATCGTCGGTATGACTCCACGGTCACGGCACGATCGTCGTCATGACTCGCGGTCACGGCGCGATCGTCGGTATGACTCGCGGTCACGGCGAGATCGTCGGTAGGACTCCGCGGTCACGGCGCGATCGTCAGTATGACTCGCCATCATGGCATGACCGTCAGTATGACTCCGCGGTCACGGCGCGATCGTCGGTATGACTCGCGGTCACGGCGTGATCGTCGGTATGACTCGTGGTCACAGCGTGATCGTCGGTAGGACTTCGCGGTCACGGCGCGATCGTCGTTATGACTCCGCGGTCACGGCGTGACTGTCGGTATGACTCCGCGGTCACAGCCCGATCGTCGTTATGACTCGCGGTCACGGTGCGATTGTCGGTCCAATAATCGCGGCCACGGCGCGATCGTCGTTATGACTCCGTAAATGTGTCCGCAGGCCCGCGTTTCTCGGCGTTTCGTGTCCGCGACAATGTCTCAGCGTCGCTCGTTGTTCTGCTTTGGGGGCTGTGCTGATACGTGTTAGTGGAGAGACTGGGTCCGACATGGCTCACAACATCACTGCCAGGGATTTGTAGACTATTGGGCTTTTGTCTGAGCTCTTACTGGATATTTACTCTTCTAATAAACTTAACAAAAAAAAAAAAAAAAAAAAGAAACCTGTTGAGTTCTTTATTCATTTCTGACCAAAGCCAGTATATTCAAATTACAAAGAGAAGCATAGTATACAAGAGGTACAATATAGATGTGCAACATTATGTAGATGTTGACTATACTGTATAAATCTATATGTATTTCCCACAGTTTAAAAAATATTACTGTTACCTGATCCAACAGTTTTCTAACGAGTGCAATATTTCCGTTGATGCTAGCAACATGAAGAGGATACTCTCCTTTTTCATTCCGACGTAAATTTCTGGTCGGACATCTTTTGCGTGCTCGATGGGTTTCTCCAGGCTCAGGCTCGTCGTCTAAAACAGTCATTATTGAATCAGGATTTTAAGTTAACCCTTTGAGGAGGAATTTTTTCCCCATTTTTCGGCGAGTATAGGTTGCCATTTTAGCAGTCAGGAAAATGGTGCCCGGCGACCTAAACTCGCCATTCGACCGCAAAAATTAACTTTTTTAATTTTTTAAAATTAATTATTATAAATGTTTCAGCTTAAGGCCTAAGTGAAATTTTTGCAAAATGGTAGGTAGTGTGATAGAAAATATTCCCAGCTGATGTTGAATATTGTTGATTGTTTATGTTGACTGCTTTGCAATAATTTTTTTTATGTACTACACTCAACTCTTACTAATAAATATCATTAGGCTACTTGTGAATTGTGTAACTTTTTCGATGCTAAAATTTTCTTTTTGTAATTTTCCTAAGAATGCTAGAGTTTGACTTATTTCGTCCAAAAGGTGCTAGGCTTGCCACAGAGGCAGTCTAGTGTGCGAGAAATAAATCGGTAAAAAAATGTCATCTCCAAAGTCCTAATGAACGATATATTAGGCCTCGATTGTATAAAGAAACGAAAGAAAGCATCACTGTTTCGAAACAAGAACCGAGTCAACCGATATGCCCATTTAAACTCACACGATCGAATGTTGTGCCGGCACGATATATATCGCCGCTTAGCTCTTTTCGGATGAAACAAGAACAACGATATATCGATCCGTAGCACTTTTCGAGAAAAGACGCACAACGATATATCATTGCTTAGCAATAAAGGGTTAAATAAAGCCTACTCTTTAAAGGCAAACAATCTTTACTTTATTCTGTAACAGACGGAGGTTTTTTTAAGGAAGTTTCTCAAACTTAAACCACCTTTTATACTGAGCCTATAAAATTGTAAGCTAGAATATATCCCTAAATTATTAATTTAACTTTTTAAACTATCAGTTTTATCAAACCTACTCTGACTATTTTTCTTGCGTAAAACCTAGAAAACAGCATCTAAGACCTTGGTGTAAAAGGTTTCAGTTCATCCCATATTTTCTGTTTTATGTTCACCCAATGATTTTTAGATATTTGAATATCTTTCTATTACACATGTTATTAGGATTCACAGATGTTCTGAATAAATTGTTATTATGTTGTTTGTATTGATGAAAAAGGTATTCATAAATGTATGGACAAAGTGGCCGCCATAACTATGGCAAGAAAACCTGAGAATGTAAGCGAGCTCAGGACATTTTTAGGCTTTCTTGCATTAGTTATGTCAGCCACTTTGTCCATAGTCCATACATTTATGGACAATACACTTTTCATCACTTTCCCTTAGAGCGTTGAAAGTATTCCACTACAAAATAGCTCTGGAGCTACAGAGAAAAACATTCAAACCTACCATATTTTGTTAAACCCATATTTGTTAATGACCATAATGTTTACAAAATACTTCTTTAGCAAACCTTAAACCAAGCTGGCATTAAGAAAGTCTAATAATTTAAACCATTACCTGAGAGCTCATTGATGTCAATGTCGGCTCCAATGTCAGGTGTGTTTTCTTCTTCTTCTTCACTTGAGCTGTCGTTCATAGGGCCATACGTTTCTTTCAGGTTTTCAAGTTCTGCCTCCATTTTCCCTAGGAAATAAAGCAAACAAGTTGATCCGAATGAACATCATAGACTGGAACATGCTAATTTAAAAATCTCAATGATAACTCTTTTTAACTCTAAAACTAGTATCTGAGACCATTGACTTTTGGATGTACTGAAGTAGACGTCCCATCAATGTATTTGGACCAGCTCTTGCCAATAGCTAATTCAAATAGACATAATAAAACATGATACAAGATGTCATTCCAGGGTGGTTACAAGAACAATAGACTTTGGCACACTCTGAATCCTCCAAAATGTATATCACAGCTGTCTCAATCCAACTAGTTCCAACAAGTTAATTTATTCTAAAACTTGTAAGTAGAGAAAGCAAAGTCTAATTCAATTATAAGTAAAAATGTGATATTTAAAAGCCTTGGCAAGAATATTCTTATTTTATAATAACGACTAAGCTAGAATACTTACGAGAATCAGTAATCATATTCTTCTCCTTAAGAAACTGCACAAAGGACTCCAATGTCCTGGCCTCTAGTTTGATGTCCTTGGCTGTCTGTGCAAGCGACCTTGCTTTTAGATAACATTCAGTAGTCTCATTAACATCTGCCTCTTTCAGCTCCAGAACCTCTGCAATGCTTAACGTCGTCTTGCAGGCCTGTAAAACAATTGACAAACTTGATAATAGAGATACTTGAGTTTGACATTTAAGAACGAGTCGAGCCCAAGCCATTTTTTTTTAAAGGTTGGGTCTCGAGCTTTTTTTATCAGTGCTTTTTTCAACAGTTATTATGTAATTTCATTGAGAGAAACATCATCATAGTTTTTTGAAATTGCAGGGAAATTCTGGATACCTCCCACGGTCTAGGAAACTTATCTGTATTTTTCCTCAATCGCTGCAAAATCCTAGACATTTCTCTGGGTCATGTAGCCATTGTTTTCCGTGATCACGGCAAAGTCCTGGAAATCTCCTTCATAGACATTGTCTTCCACGATGCTATTCGACTAAATTCTGATCTCCTGTGGTCGTGTGTACATCACATTTATACCATTAAATATGAAATGGCCAATTTTAATTTTTATTAAAACCATTGTGTAGAGCACAAGAAAACAAATAATTTATTACATTGAAGCATTGTTGTGGGCTTGTCAGCGCATCCTTGTAGAAAGGACTGGAGTTATTGCATGTGCGTTGCTAGCGTTACATAACCTATACTGTGTGTTTCGCCCGCCGTTCTAGCGGTGCCAGTCCCCCGAGACCGGTAAATTCCCACTTCCACTATTTATTTGTTGACTTTGGACATTTAATAATATTCACATGTTTCTTTTGTGTTCAATAAAGATAGACTCCCCAATATCAAATTGCTATCAGCAGTTCCATGATTCACTGTGATTGGCATAAACAATGGTAAGAAGGGAGAAAGGGGCTGTATATAACTGTAAATATTAGTTATAGTGCTATTTAACATTTTTTAGTGTGAAAAATAGTACGTTTATGAGATCAAAAATGGAGTATTTTCATCGCGGTGCCCACAAATGTCATTGCGAGAATAATAAAGAGAATAATTAATTATGTTCCATAGATTTGCTGTATGCAGATAAGCTTTCTCCCCGTGTATTTCTTATGGGAGTTAGATTTGGTTATAATATGTTTATAATATGTATTTCACCAGTTAAAATTATCTAATCCTATACATATTAGTCTAAGAACCTTCATTTAAGCTATTAGTTATTCAAATCGGACGAGTTTCAAGCAAACACAAGGTGAACAACCAATATAAAAATTATTTTTCATAACGTTTTTCTATGATTAAAAATCAATAGCTCCAGTATTGATAATGTTTTTCCATATGTTTTAGACTTTAAAAAATCAGTAAATTATAGGCTTTAAATTGAGCTATTGATCGTTTGAATCAGTTAAGCTCAAGATACTGTATTACTTAATCAAAAATCATAAATTTGTTTATTTCTCGGATATTATATTTATTTAAACCCTGCGGAGCAGCATGGGTGTTCTAGTCTGATTTAATTTTAATTTACTTTAAATTTATTTATCATTGTAAATATTTACTTTTCGTACCAGTTTAAACTCAGCCTGACGATGGAAACCTAGTTACCGAAAGCGCTTGTGATTAAAACAATTTATTATATATTGGCCTTTTTGAACTTTTAAATTTAGTTATTCATTTCATTATTCATTGCCAATATCTCCAATATAAGTTAACATGTCACACGATGATAATTGTATTTTAGGAGATTTGTAAATTCAACTTGCATCTAAGATTTAACCTAGGGGAAGGGTGGTTGTAAATATGTTTAGGAGCAGTCCAGGTGTCACGTAACACCATATCAGTAAACTGTCAGTGCTATGCTATCAGTAAGGTGGTGCAGTTGCTAGACACGACTTACACCATTTATTTTTTTTTTTTTTCTTAACATGCGAGCCGCTTTCTCGAAGGTTAAATCTGAAAAAGCAAACAACAGATAAAAGAAATGCCTAACCGAAACTGAACTGATAACAATTGCCAACTAAATATTTTCAAAATAGATAACCCTACCTCAACAGGATTGTTAACGTTGAGTTCCAGCTCTTCCCTCAAGTACTTGATGGCCTCATCATACTGCTTGTTATCCTTGTATGTCTGAGACAAAGACACGAAACAAGGCCTTAGTTGCTCTCCTGACTCGCCTAGGTCGCGAGCAGTCTGGAAAAAACAGAACAACATTAAAAACTAGTGCAATACGTCAATAATATGTTGTCTTACAAGACAATGATACGAAACAGAAAAATTCAGAAGAACAGTCTACTCTCAACTGAATGAAAAACAAGTTTAGGTTTAGAAATCACAATCGTAAGGGTTATCTAATCGTTTATGTTCACAAACATGTCTTTTCACAACCCAAGTCTTGTACTGTATTTTTTTTCTGCCTGTGCTTTACAACGGGGCAAGAATACTAAAGACAATAATGTGGGTCTCGGAAAATACTACACAAAATAGTTGCACACACTTACCATGAGAATTATGCAAGCAAATCCCAATCGTACTATTGGTTTTTTAATGAAAATCTCTTGACTATTTGCATTAAATTGTATGGCAGAACCAAAAGATAAATCAGGGAAAAGTAAACAAACTATACATTATTGAACAGAACGCCACTTGGTTGCTTTCGAGGGTATGATCAGGAACGGGCCATGATCTTCCGATGGCGAGAGGTTCTGATAAATCCACTGACGAATGACGATTTGGTGGTCACAGTTGGGATAGGCTACATATTTCATACAACTCAAAAACCAATACATTTGTTTTGGACAGTATAACTGTAATATTTCATTTCATTTCATTCATTATTTAGTATTAAATTTTTTTAAATGTTAACTTTTATTCATACACCTAATAATCACTCCTCAGAAAGGCTGCCCTAATATTCATTTTCCTAATTTATATCATTTCATTAATATGTTCAATTTATCATTAATAATATTCATTTCATAGCCTATATATATTTTTTTTTACAACGCCCACAACCTAATTATTTATTAAATATGTAAGAGAATTGCAATACATCAAAATTTCTTATAATATCATTTCAAAATTAGTCCTTAAGGAATCAAAATTTAAGTAGCAGTGAAAGTGATCCCATGTGTTCAACAATAGTGATGTGAACATTGAGATGAAAAGAGAAGGAAGCCATTGAGAAGTTGAAATTGTTATAAGAAGGACTCAAAATTTTACCTAAATCAAATTCATTCATTAAGAAGACCAGTTTCAAGTTATATCACAGTTTTTTTTAGCTTAAACCTCAAGAGGACTCAACTTAATCATTATCTTCAAAATTAAGTATAACCTTTTCTTTAAACTCTTTTAAATTTTATACTAATTGGACTTACCTTTTGGACAACACCAAAATTAGATTTTCCATTGTTGAGATTGTGTAAATTTAACACTTTAATTAGGCCTATTTGGACACTATTACATTTATTAATTATTAGCATTCAAGCCAGCACGACACCCTACCCTGAGATAGATCACATCTAAATTATTTGAACCTTCAAGTTATTATTCAAATTTATCTTTTATTTCAATTTAATTTCAACCCCATACACCATTGTCAATCCTTTCATTGTAACGTCAAGCCTTTTCTCATTGCATGTTAATTGTTCATTGTTTAAATAAAACCCATTTTGTAATCCATATCTTTATTAACTTATTAACTTTAAACATTTATAGAATAGGCCTAGCCTAAATGAATATTGTAAGGTGAGTTTACATAACCTAAAAATCACAGAGAATAGAGGCTTCAAAGCTGACTTATTTCACTTCCCAGAGGCGTGGTAAAATGCGACATAACACCTTTGGAACCTCTTGATACGGAAATGACAACGAAGGTGTCCGTCTGAACTGAACCATCCAAAGACTACATCAAATAGATCTAAACTTAGTAACTACTGCACTCCAAGCAGTGATCTCTGTTATCCAGTCCTATGCTATAATGTGAAGACCTGTAGGACCCTGTTATAATGGATAAATCTAACACTTCAACCCTGTACGGATTGATCTAACACTCACAGCCAGCATACGATGGTAGTATTCAATAGCCTTGGAGTAGCTGTACATTGCCACACAGCCATCCCCTAGTGACTCATACAGGGACTTCTTAGTCTCCAAGTCACAATCTGGAGTGTCCAATAGCTTCTGCTCGTAACGACTAACAGCAGCAACTACAGACAAAGTATCAGGTTATAAAAAATTGACAATGTTTAGAGAAAACCTAAGCCCTAAAGCATGTTACAATGAAAGCATTTTATTTACTGTTTAGTCAATAATAATATAAATTACGGTAGTAATAATATATTTTAGATGAAACATTTTACTAAAAGTTTGCGTTTATTTTATCAGGAGTTATTCCAAATACCTGTTTTCAGCTTTTTTTCGACACTACTACGAGTTTCGGTGTTTAATTTGTAAGCCTTCAGAAGACATTGTTTGGCACCTCTAAAATCTGGCAAGTCAAAAAGTATCTGAAAAAACAACAAACAATTTTGGATTAGTTGTTTTGAATTAGTTTTACCTACAATAATATGTTTTATAGACTGCATTGAGACTGACCATTGATTAGTTACTGATGGTTTTCTTCAAAAAACGGTTTCATTTACAAAATTTATATGAATTGTATTCTAGGCTATTTCAAATTTGAATGAATGTTTCTCCCAAACTGTGTAATCAAACTAACACAAAACAGTTTCCATTAAATAAATTAAATTAAATTGCTCAACTTCATCTTGGAATTTGTTAGTTTAAAATTTATTTGAATTGTGCAGTTTAAAGTATAAAAAAAGTTTTAAATGGTTTGAAGTAGAATCTACCAAGTAAACACAGTTAATTTTGAACTAATCCTTAGCGTAGGAAGAATTTTTGACACATAAAGAGACAAAAAAATCTACCAACATTTGATACTAGTAAATATTCCTAAACGTAAATAGGCTATACCTTTTTACAAAATCATAATTATTTATATTTATTTAATGCAAATCGATCGGACTTAATGTAGATCAATCTAACAAGAAGCTAATTAAGGGTTTAGCCTAAAAGGAATTTTAAAAGGCATAAGAAAATTGGCCAAAGACGCATCAGACTTAAAATTAAGACGGCTTGAGCAAGATCATTAATTATTACTTAAATCTAAAACACCATGGTCTAAATTTGAGATAAAATACAAAATTTTGTCTTTCTTTCTTTTTCAATATTTTTTTTCTTCTTTATAAATTATATTTATTTTTGATTTTTGCTAAGCCTTCTCTTCTGATACAGAGTGCTAAACACTTTTATTTGTTTTGTTTATTCCTGAAGAAGACTAATGCCGAAATAGAGAACTTTTTTGTTAAAAGTGTGTGAATTGAATAGTTTATTTATAATGATTTAGCCTTTTGGCAATACTATTCGAAGAAACTATAACTTCAAAGTTAATTACTGTACATTAATTTGTCTACAATTAAGCCCTACTTACATCAGCCTTTAGCAGTAATGCTTCGCATATTTGTTGGTTTCTGTCTGGAAGCCGCTGTGCAACGTTGAGTGCTTTGTCTATGTTCGTCAGTGCTCGAGTGTGGTCTCCTTGGTTATAATAGAGTGTCCCTAGCCCACTGTACGAACTGCACAGGATATTCCATATGTCCATACTCTTGCATAGGTTTATTGCCTGGATAGTGGATATCAAAAGGAATTAAAAACATAATTTACTGTCGTAAAACTTTTGCTACAGAGGCAAATTGTGTGATGTTTACCACTGTCATAGCTAAGTATTTAAGTATAATAAAATATTTACAAATTGTGACAAGACAGCTTACCTATGGTTTAAGTTTGTTGATTCTGCACATTGCAGTTCACAGTAAAATGATATTAGTTGAGAGCAATACTCTTGGTTACCTCTTACTTCACAAATGCTCAAACTCTGAACAACCATAAAGAAATCAGCATAAAAACATCTCAAGTCCATTATTTCCTTAGCTAAGCATTTAAACTCATAAAAAAAAAATATTGAATGCAATATAAAAGGTGTGGAGTTTTAAGCCCATCAGAGACTCAAATGGAGTTGATTATATTAGACTAGTGCACCTGTTGCTCGAATTCAAGCAATTGAAAAGTATTACAGGTGTTATTTCAAAACGAATAACAGTCATAATTTCGATTACCTACTTAAAAGTGTCAACTCAAAGATAATGTAATCAATCATTCCAATCCAGTTATCAAAACTGAAAACGAACGCTCTTGGGTGTATCATATGTTTACTATGAACAGTTGTAATTAATACAAATTATTCGTATATTTAAGTAGACAAAATCTTTTATCCATAAGAAATACTATGGGATTTTAATGGCCTGTGGGGCAAAGCTCGAGGACTTTTATTACTGGAGTTGGTGAAAGGGGGCATCTACACAAACAATACTTCATTTTGACACATCGTTTGTAAAAATCTGTCAATTATTAACGGAAGAGTAGTGTTTTGTAGAAATCGCCTTCACGTATTAAATATAAGGATAGGTAGTTTAGTAAAGATACCACAGAGCAGGGTGCACACTTCAAAGTGAAGATGAGTATTGAAGGCATGATATGACAGATTTGTACGACTACGACACCATCTGGTTCTTCATCCAGGACCATTAATTAAAAGCCTAATCGTCAAGGGCAAATGGGTTGAGTTTTAAACCATTAAAGAGATATCAACTTTACTCAGGAACAAACCGACAACCTTTCAATTACTAGGTGTCAACTATTTAACCACTACCTTACTACAGGAATCTAGCTATTGAAGGCAAAATCAAGGGATTTTTAAGATTGGTGGTAATAAATTTACATCCTTCAAGATGAATAAAAACAAATTAACCTCTATAAAATAATCTGTTTAAATAAGTGACTTTAATCAAATAATACCCTAAGACCGCCTTCACACTATCGGGTCGCTGCGACCCTACTCTGTGGCAGTGAATCTGTCGCCAAAGAACTGCGTTACAGGTTGGTGGCTTCCACCATGCTTTTTAAGCGACCCAACTCGTAGCTGGCCATTGAAATATATGTAGATGAAGTATGATTGTAATATACGTTGTAAGAACTGAAATGGATGAGGATGGTAATACATTTTAGGATAATAGTGAAAGTTTCTTATTAGCTTAGGTAGGCCTACTGAATCTTTTGGTAAACCAAAGAAGAAAGAAAAAGTCTGACGAGGGGAAAAGCTACACTCTCAATTTCATCTTGACAAATGAACCATACAAAACGAAACAGAGTAATTTTTGCGAGAAGGTCGTAGTCACCATATGTGAAGGGACAAGCATGGTTTTGTCATGGCAATTTGTACAGGACGCCAATGTACAGGCTGCCACTTAGTGAGAAGGCAGCAATTAGTAACTTTTTTTCACTAAAAGACTCACTCGATTGTAGTGACTAATTGCAGTTTCACGATCATTTTGCTCCACCACCAGTCCCAGGTTCAAGTACAACCGAGCTTGCATTTCTACCAATTCCTGCTTGTTAACAGTTGTGATCCTGGAACAAAAAACAAATTTTAAGAAGTACAAAAGTAACAGTGTCAAACTTAATAAAATAGCAAATTTTCTTGGTCTCTTATGTGATCATATCCAACTTTACTTTTGATTCAAAGCTACAAGGCTTTTAGAGGGCACTTAAAAAATGTTTAAAGAATCATAAAAATTCCTAATTTTAGGGCTATTCCTCACTGCCACCCAATTATCCAGCACTTTCTTTAATCCGCCCCTGTCCAAGGCCACACTAAAAAAAACAGGCCGTAATGCTTGTCAAGCATGACGTCACGATAGAAGACGGCAATGACGTAGGTATTTATTTATTTTCCAAGGAAAGTTTAAAACAAGCAGCTTAAAACAGTTTTTTAAAGCAGTTTAAAACAAACAACAAACATTACGTCATTGCCGTCTTCTATCGTGTCGTTGACGTCATGCTTGACAAGCATTACGGCCTGTTTATTTAGTGTGGCCTTGCCCTATCTTGCAGCTCCTAGTCTGCAGTACAGTTCAAGGGTTAGGCCTATAATTAATTTTCAATAAAATCAAAATATGTAACAATATTTTTTTTGGTCCTAGGACGCTAGGCATGTGCTCAGGATTGTTTTTCAAATTACTTCAGGCTAGACCTAGGGGTTGCGGCATTATAACTTAGAAAAATCCATTGGTGATTTGGTGAGATTTGAACCCGTGACCTCTATAACCAAATTCCCGCGCTCTGGGACATGTAAAAGATAAAGTACACACTATTATCTAAATGAAACCTTACCTTTCACAGGTCTGCAAACTAAGCTTGCTGTATTTCTCTGATTTTTCAAGGCATTTCAGTTTTTCTTGAGACGCAGGGTTGACAAAGGTGTCTGCTTTTAGGAAGTACATGTGGCCTAAGTTAGCTAAGGCCCTTTGTTCTTCAACTGTGTTATTCTCAACCCGTGCTAACTCTAGCAGGAAAACAGTTTATCTTAGATTTATTTAAGTACCTCACTTTTTCAAAATAATAAACAAACAATAGTTATTTGTGTAACTAGTGGGTAAAGTGGCACTTTGCTGCACACGAGAGCAATGTTTACGCAGGAGCCGCAGGCGAGTGTGGAATGATCTCGAGTGCAGCAAAGGCCTTTTGCACTCGTGTTACACATTATATTTTTCCTACAGTCACTATAAAGCATATAAATAATTAATTAGTCTTTCAAACACTATACAACACGTTTTTAGGTTCAGCTGGCAACACAAATAGGTGCCCTAGAGAAAGTAGTACCCGGTCCGTATCACTCCGCTATTTTTCCTCGGCAAGAAATGTGCTCCGCGTTTTGAGAATATAGTTCCGTATGTTTTTGTAATTTGAAGTGGTTTCCGCGCCTAAAAAAATGCTTTAAAGGTGTTTTCTTGTTTATTAAGATTGTATGAATGTTTTAAAAACGTTTAAAAGAAAAGTCCAGAAAGTTCAGATATACCAAAACTATAAACACAAAATGACAGGTTAAATCGTAGTTATAATAGTCAATCAGCTGCTCATAGTATTTTATTATCTTCAAGTGTTGCCAACCTATTTCCAAGCGTACACGGATTACGTGCATAATAGAACCACGCTGTTTTGTGTTGTTTCGTTGGAATCCTGATGTGCGGCAAAGTATAAACAGTACGACAAAGTATAAACCGTACGGCAAAGTATAAACATGCAGCAATTAGCAGCTTTCTGTACTATAAACAGTACAAGGTAGCCAACTTTGTCGGGTGACTGTAGGAATAGAGAATATTCTTCAACTTAAATGTTCATGGTTAAGAAAATAATTTGAACTATGATATTGATATTACAAAGCGCACCTTATTTTTCCAGTCAATGGCCGACTATCTAAAAATTAAATATCTAATAACCCTCAACCCCTATTGTTGAGAATAATCAACTAGTTACTGCCTTGTAGAAGCTCACCTAAATACTTGTGTTGATGTTTGATTCCTTCGTCATATTTTTGCATTTTACTGTACACCTCTCCAATCATTCTATGGCAGACAGCCTTATTGATAGTGTTGTTAGCAGCTTCAGCCGCTGTCTTGGCTTCCTGAAAGATTTTGTTAAAATGTTCAAATGTTGTTAGGGTATAACATTAAAACGTTTAAACAACGTTAATATTGTTATAACGTTAAAATTTATGTGATCTAGGATATGACATGAATGAAAATCATTGACCATGTATTATGTAAACTTGTTGAAACTTGTATTATGTTCAACTACAGAGTTGAAGACAAACACAACTACAAGGAAACACGACATGTTAACATTTAAGAAAGCAGCTGGCCTACATTAATCAGTTGCGAGCCAAGTGGAAATTGAGTTGAGCGTTGAGCCTGCAGGTGGCCAGTATCAAATCGGACTAACAAAATGTATTATATAACCAACTAAGTTACCTCTCTCGTGAAATTTTATTTCGAACACCGCTAATGAAGATAATGAAGGGGGGAAAGAACCTGTAAGTTTTTTTTTGTGATTATATAACAAAAGACACATTTGTACGCACAACTGCGAATCAATCAACTCGACTTTTATATTACTAAACCAACAGTTTTTTTTTTAATATTACTGTGTTGTGTTCCCGTGTTGATTTTGTGTTTTCAACTATGTTCTGTTTTGTCTTTTTTTAATTGACAGTTTCCAGAAGAAGATGAAAAATAGCCTACAGGCTAGTTTGTTTGCACAGGCTGAAGATGGCAACAATTTGGTGCAAAAACTAACTTAGTTAGGCCTACTAAAAGTAATAAGAAATAATTTGATCACCAAGCAGGTAATCACTGAAGATTTTTTAATCCCTACTTCTTAGACACATACCTTATATTGTTTAATAGCATCCTCATAATTTTCTTTATTGGTTTGCAGGGAAGCAAGTTCTATACATGCAGCATATAGCTCCTCCAAGTTTCCTTCGTTTATGGCTTTTTCTTTTTTCTTTTCCCACTCTGTAAAATAAAAATGAGTAGGCCTCGGTGTTATTATAAAGATACAAACTAGGTAGCCTACCTATATCACTACTGGAGAATCTAGCTTACACTATCTTTTAGGCTGTACAGTAGAAACCGGTAGACCATTCCCTTTCTAACGTTAAACAGTTTCATTGGCGTAGATAAAACACAACAATTAAATTAAATAAAGGAGGGTCAGAGGTTTGCCAAAACAATGAAGTTTATTGTGATTTCAGTCAGACCAACTTATCTACACACATCTATACCTTAAAATATAGATTCCAAGAGATCTTCAATGTGCAGGTCTACCTACTTTATATTGAAATAGATAGGTAGCTACCACCAATGGACAAACTATTTTTTTAAACCCAACGAGAAACTACACACTACAGAGCTGAATAGAAATGATTACCGGTAGGCATTCTTTAAGGGACCCTAAGTTACTTAACAGTTTATGCCAATTCACAAAGTAGAACTACGGGCGACAGAGCGACAGTGTCGCAGAAAGAGGGGGAGGGATGCAGAAAGCCCAGCCTGCCTGTCTGGTTGTATTTTATTTTTTGAAAAACTATTTATTATTACAGGCAAAGTTAGGGCCACATTGCCCTTTCTTACACTTAACCTGTCACATTTCTACAGAAAATGCTACATAAAGCCCCGTTCACACGGGGCGAGTTTACAAGCTACAAGTCCGGATTTTTTACACACAGCTAGTAAAATAGCTCAGTGTGAACGACGTACTCGCTCAAAAGCTGCTTGTAAAAAAACTCTGGAAAATGTTGACGGTGCCGCTACTTTACACTCCAACTCGCCAGCTTTTGCGCGAGTAGGCGTGTAAAGTAGCCCAGTGTGAACACAGTTGCTTGTGCTTGTGCGCATGTTATTCGAAGATGTCGGAGGATTTAGTTCAAGCTAGCTACTGAGCGAGTGGAAAAAGCATCGTGTGAACGACTACAAGCGCACTCGCCGACGTCTTTCTACACGTCGGCGAGTTGGCAAGTGGACAAGCTCCGTGTGAACGAATACAAGCGCACTCGCCAACACGCCGGCTTCTTACACGCCGGCGAGTAGCGTGTAAACTCGCCCCGTGTGAACGAGGCTTTAGTTAACAAGTTAACCCTCCGAGTGTCCATAGTTTAGGCCTTAATGTCCACCTATTTTTGGCCCCTTTGCAAGGTTTTATTAAAACGGATCTGAGAAGCTTAAAACAATGTTAATTCTAATGTTCTATATACCATTTTGTTTGGAAAATCATGGGCTTCAATATTATATATAAAAAATAAGGAACATTTTTTCAAAAAAAAAATTTTTAGGTAAAAAAAAAATATAATTTCGAAAATTTTCAAAAAAAAAATAAGTTCGCGCTCAATGAAATTGTATAAATTATAGGTCTCCTATAAATATTTGAAAATAGCCACTTTGTTCTAAATTTAATGAGGATTACAAATATATAATCATATAGCGAGGTAAGTTATCAAATAAATAAGTTATGAGCGAAAAACGGATTTCAGTACATAGCGTTTAGCTAAGAATGCATAGCCTAACCATAGCTAGGAATCTGGCTGATAATTTACATCAATATCACTACCTACTTCTTCAGGATCATCAACCAGCACTTCAAAACCACTTAAATCTTCTTATAATAATGCACCACGTATATCACTACTTTTGATTTTTAACACTAAAACAATGATAAACGTAATAAAACACATCAGTCATCGGTCCGGGGGAACCTAGCTGTTTACAAATACACGCACGTCAGCTGTCTGCTACAATATTTTCGGAACTAAAATGAATAGCGCTTAGAGACAGACCTCTGGAGAAAGCTTAGAATATTACGGAAAGAACGATACCTAACTCGATCCAGTTCAATCCGATTCAGTCAGTCATAGAGCCTTCGCCGTAAACGATGTTTGTGCGTCATAAAAGTGACGCGTGACCCTACACAAAGTGCGTTGTGCGTCATTTTTATGACGCGTGACACTCGGAGGGTTAATAAAATTGAATTTTTGCAAAAAATATTTTTGTATTAAAGTCTACCATTTTATTTTCAAAAGAAAAATTAAATTTGTTCTCTGCAAACAGTACCGGTAACGCTACAAAACGTAATGCATTAGGGTAGGTACATGAACGAAAGCTGCGACAAAAAAATTTGGTGCATCGATTGTGAGGAAGAATGCATAACTGAATAACCAAAAGTGATTCAATGTAATAACAGTACCGGTACGGTAATTTACAAATTTTCAAATTAATTAATTGAAGCGTAAGGAGAAAACTTACACACAATTCATTTATACGCAACTTGGACCACGTTAGCCCGCAGAAAAGTTTTGAATTTTTCCAAGTCCCTTGCATAAAGTTAAAAGAAAGTTCTGCTTTGGGGCAGTTTGTCCCTAAACAGTACCAGTATTGTAGCTTTTTTTTTTTTTAAGAGGTTGACGGCCTCTTTTAACCTTGCATTTGCCCGTCCACATAGACTACAGATCTGTGCGTGGAACGTATCCAGCAAAGCAAGGGGTGAGCCGGTACAGTACAAAGGTGAACTGTACTGATAAAAGTTTGTAGCAGGGACCAGGATCCGAACCCACGACACTGCTGCCTTGGGCCCGAAGTCCGCGACGCTACCAACTGAGCCACTGACTCACCAAAACTAAACTAAACTAAAATTAATTTCATTCAATAAATTCAGTTCCTGTTAGAACAATCTGAATAGGCCTAGGTAAGTACTTTTGTAGGTAGGTTAACTAAGTTATCTCGGACCTCGGTCTAGCCTCTTAGGCCTACTCCTCACAATTACTAGAAAAATACTCTAGTATTCGTGGGTAGGCCTAACTTATCTCCTGGCGTTTCGTCCTCGGAGGAACTTAACTTACTTGCATTTTATGGACATTTATGTGTTTTAACCAAATGTCATTGCATGAACAAACCCTAACATAAAATTTATCAAAAATAATGTAAAAGTGCATTACAAAAGCCTACATTAATAACCTATCAAACTTACTTTGGTGTGACATTGCACTGAGGCCTATGAGCCGGATGTTCACTTTCAGTCAGATGAAGTCCAAGAAACTAGCTGCAAATTAGAACAGAACACACCAAAGACAATCTTCACACCTATAAGTAAGCCTATTATAAAACATACTTATATCTATCATCTATCTATGATTGTTTCTACACACAACAGAATTTCAATTTATCAGTTGTCAGTGAGTAGTTGAGTAGGTTGAGTAGTTTGATAATGTTATGTTGTTGTTGTTGATGATTTCATGTTCCCCTCGTTCCCGACTTCCCGCCATGAAACAATTTTTTTCCAGAAAATCTGGCTTGTCTTCTTACCCAAACAGCTGTGAAATTAACTTTCCTTACAAATTGCCATTTCGGTTGATTATTATAAAAATTCAAATTACTATTCCACATTTATTTGAGAGGTTATTAATTGTATTTGAGAATCATTACTTATGTTTGAGAAAATATCAAATGTAAATCAGATATAGTCAGTTGAATTTTATAAAACAAAAAATGTACCTATTTGAGAATAGTCAATTGTATTTGAGAAAGTAACTTATTGTATGGAATTGAAAAATCGTTAATTTTTATTTCAGATTTAGGGCTTTTAATTTTATAAGTTGGTTATTTATTAGCTGAATTTTGAGTTTCTCACCATCAAATCACAAGTTCTCGAATAAATTTAACCATTTCTTAATTTGATGCCTTCTCAAATACAACTGACTATTCTCAACTTCATCTGATGTTTTCTAAAATATATTTCACGAATCTCGAATACAATTGATATGTTCTCAAACAAACATAACTGTTTCTCAAATAAATTTGGAAAAGGTGTAGTGGATTTGGATATATGTAGCAGTGCGATATTTTTTTGAAAGAAATCTTATAAATATAAATGCGAAATTCCGATCAACGCACGGGCCAAACCAGCACCAAGAAGCACGAGATTTTGCAAACATATTTCTCTCATAGCGTAGAAAGACAATAAGAAGCGATTTTACAAAACTCCTAATGGGTCCCGCCCATTAACTGCCCGATAACGGCGATAACTCGAGCAAAAATGATCTGATTTTGATGAAATTTGGTAAAAACGTGTAAACCTACGTTTATTCGAACGTGTTCGCGATCCAATATGATCGGACCATGGGAACGGGGGTTAACGGGGGGTTTATGGGGCATAAATAGGGTTTTCCCATTTTTGACAAAAAAAAAACATAAATTTTAGCAATTTCCTTCAAAACCATTTTGTAGAGCTTAAAAAAACAAATAATTTAGTATACTTTTAAGTAGACATTTCAGTGTACATCCAATCAGTCAAATGGAAATTTGCTTAGTCTGCAGGTTTGCTGCGGCGGAATATTTATAATCTCTAAGGGATACAGAGATCGAGGAAGGTTATTTTAACAAAAGGTGGGTAACAAAACAGCCATTGATGACCTGCATGTTCAAAGGCTACACTAACAACCAAACCACTTAGTTAAAAGATTCACTCAATCCGAACTGTAACTGGGCCAGTACCGGGTTATACTAGGCCAGTACCGGGTTAAACTAGGCCAGTACTGGGTTATCCGAGCCAGTACTAGGTTATACTGGGCCAGTACTGGGTTATACTGGGCCAGTACTGGGTCGGTACTGGGTTATACTGGGCCGGTAGTGGGTTATACTGGGCCAGTAGTGTTGGGTTATACTGGGCCGGTACTGACTGGGTTACACTGGGCCAGTACTGGGTAATACTGGGCCAGTACTGGGTTACACTGGACCAGTACTAGGTTATACTGGGCCGGTACCAGGTTACACTGGCCCGGTACTGGGTTATACTAGGCCGGTAGTGGGTTATACTGGGCCAGTACTGGGTTACTGGGCCAGTACTAGGTTATACTGGGCTAGTACTGGATTATACTGGGCATGTACTGGGTTAACACTGGGCCTGTACTGGGTTACACTGGCCTGGTATTGGGGTATACTAGGCCGGTAGTGGGTTATACTGGGCCAGTACTGGGTTATACTGGGCCAGCACTAGGTTATACTGGGAAAGTACTGGGTTATACTGGGTCGGTACTGGGTTATACTGGGCTGGTCGCTGGTAGTGGGTAATACTGGGCCAGTACTGGGTTATAATGGGCCGGTACTGGGTTACACTGGGCCAGTAATGGGTAATACTGGGCCAGTAATGGGATACACTGAGCCAGTACTGGGTAATACTGGGCCAGAAATGGGATACACTGGGCCTGTACTGGGTTACACTGGCCCTGTACTGAATTATACTAGGCCGGTACTGGGTTATACTGGGCCAGTACTGGGTTATACTGGGCCGGTACTGGGTTATACTGGGCCGGTACTGGGTTACACTGGGCCGGTACTGGGTTATACTGGGCCGGTACTGGGTTACACTGGCCCTGTACTGAATTATACTAGGCCAGTAGTGGGTTATACTGGGCCGGTACAGGGTTATACTAAGCCGGTACTGGGTTACACTTGGCCGGTACTGGGTTATACTGGGCCGGTACTAGGTTATACTGGGCCGGTACTGGGTTATACTGGGCCGGTACTGGGTTATACTGGGCCGGTACTGGGTTATACTGGGCCGGTACTGGGTTATACTGGGCTGGTACTGGGTTATACTGGGCCAGTAATGGGTTATCCGGTCCAGTACTGGGTTATACTGGGCCGGTACTGGGTAATACTGGGCCAGTACTGGGTTATACTGGGCCAGTACTGGGTTATCCGGTCCAGTACTGGGTTATACTGGGCTGGTAGTGGGTAATGCTGGGCCAGTACTGGGTTATACTGGGCCGGTACTGGGTTACACTGGGCCGGTACTGGGTTATACTGGGCCGGTACTGGGTTACACTGAGCCAGTACTGGGTAATACTGGGCCAGTAATGGGATACACTGGGCCTGTACTGGGTTACACTGGCCCGGTACTGAATTATACTAGGCCAGTAGTGGGTTATACTGGGCCGGTACTGGGTTTTACTGGGCCAGTACTGGGTTACACTTGGCCGGTACTGGGTTACACTGGGCCGGTACTGGGTTATACTGGGATGTATCGTTGCATAGTGTACTGAAAGGGTAAAGTTAGAACTTGTGATATATAGTTATGTTCATATTTTTGTAGTTGTTTAAACCGTTTCTTAGTATGTACACATTAGGTTATATGTTAAAGGTAAGTTCGTTAGTTCGTTCCACACAATAGGCCAATCATTCACATCAGAGGAGACGAAGCATGTTTATTTACTTCCCCCTCATTCATATATTTTCCCTAGAGTTACTATAAAGCATATTAATAATTAGTCTTTCAAACACTATCAGCGAATTGAATTATTGTAAAATCATCACCACAATGAAATATAACAGATTATCTACTTTAAAACATAAAACTACAGTAGTTTGTAATTCTCTGCTTTGGACTCCAGATACCATAAATATTACAAGTAATAAACTAAAAAGTATGATTGATTATTTAGCATGCTGAAAAAAAAATAGTGAACTCATTTTATGTTACTACTTACCTACTAAAAGTACTAAAGCAACGGTTACAAAATTGATTAGTTTCCATTATTTTAAAGATTTTAAAAATACCTGATGAAGAAATTTACAGAGAGTTAAATTAACGAAAATTGGGCTTTGGGCAAATATTTACCACCTGTAAATATACAATTTTATTACCAACTAAAACGTTTGTTGCTTTTTGCAGCTTTGTCCCAATATTTTTCTGAAATTAACAAAGTCATTAAAATATGTATTCTGTTTTGTACCAACACACAAACACTTTTCTTTCATTTGAAGCACATTCATACAGATACCGTAATTAGTTAAACATGTTTCCTTATTGTACTGTCTTTAAATACCATATTTAATTGTAATATTTATCAGCTGACTTTTTGTTTGTTTTTGTTTATATGATGAGTTTTTGGAAATTGGTATTAAAACAGGGTTGATCTTATCTTGGTTTTATTTTATCTTCAAACAACTTACAATGGCGACGAGGATGAGGAAGAACGGTAGAAAACACCAGGAACTAGAGGAGGAACGCATAGTGATACCGAACAAACCAATGTTTTGTTCTAATTTTGATAAATTCGATGAAGACAATGAGACATGGACATCCTACATGGTGAGAATAGATAATTTTTTTGACTTAAATGAAATCACATCAGAAGTAAAGAAAAAGCAGTATCTGATAAATTTGTTAACACCTAAAGTATTCCATGATCTAAGGATTAGCCTAAGCCCATCTAACACAGAAGATAAAAGTTACAATGAATTGTGTGAAACTTTACAAATATTACTTGAGCCTAAAGGTAGTATTATCGCGGAGCAACACAAATTCACTAAACGAGTCCAGAAACCTTGTGAATCTGTGGGTATTTTTGCCAAAGACCTAAAAAACTTAGCCAGTAAATGTGATTTCAAATGTCCACAATGTTTCTCTTCGACAACTGACGTTCACTTGCGGCAGCAGTTTATTTCGGGGCTTCATGATGAAAAGTTGTTGTCAAGATTAATGGAAATTCATGAAAATAAAAACTTTAACCAGTGTATTGAAATAGCTAGTAACTTTGAACAGATCAAAAGTGAAACTGCAAAAATTCAAGAATCAAATTTGTATTCAAAAGTGGAAGAACAATTTCAGATTCAAGGAAGGAGGAACACTGGATATTCGCAAGGAAGAAAGGTTACTACAGCTTGTTTCAGGTGTGGAGGAAACCATCACGTTAGTAGGCTATCTGTGAAATTCCTAAAGACATAAATTGTTGGAATTGCGACAGAAAGGGACATCTCAGCAAAGTTTGTTGGAGAAACAAGCAAAACATGCTACAAACTGACGACGCTTCGCCAGATAATGAATATGACGATGAGGGTGAGTGTCAAAATGTACCATTCATGTCTATGTTATCCATTGTAGATAGGCAGAAAAAAAGTAGTAAACTATCTAAACTGTGTGATAGTATTTATCAACCAGAAGCTGTCAACAGGCCGAGGAAAATTATGTTAGAATGCACCATTGATGACAAGCGTAACTATTTTGAGTTGGATACTGGTGCTGCGGTCAGTACAATACCTTTACATCTGTTTCGAAAATTATTTCCAGAAAAAGATTCTAAATAGAACAAGAATACGGTTAGGGACATATACAGGAGAAATGATTCGCCCCGTAG